AGGCTTGCATGTGACCAGACATGCATATTTTATGTATGTATTTATTAATTTCATTTCTGTAGCACTCAATAGCTGAAGCTGGGCAGTTCACAATTAATTAAATAAAAAAGATACAATGGAAATACAAATACAGTAAAACAAAGCATGAAATGCCAGTATGCAAATTTCAAATGGCTAAAGATTCCAATGTAGAAAACTATAAAGCAATTTAACATCAAAATCATTTTATTAAAAACTAGACCTAATTAAAACAGCAGATATAACCTATCATATCCATTAAATGCCAGGGAATAGAGAGCAGTTTTAACTGGACACTGAAAAGATGACAATGTTGGCACCAGGCAGGCCTCAGCCAGGAGACTGTTTCACAAAACATGCTCCTTGTTTTCTCTTTCTGAGAATCACCTGGAGCTGTCATGCAGAGGAAGGCTCCAGATGTAGCTCATAGGGTGTGAGTTGAAAAGAGGGGTGTTCCATCAGGTATCAAGGTACCAAGCCATGTAGGCCTGTATAGGTTAAAACCAGCACCTTGAATTGTTCTTGGAAGCATATAGACAGCCAATGCAAGCAGGCCAAAATTACATGGTGTTAGATCAGCGGTCCTCAAATGTTTTCAATAGGGGGCCAGTTGAAACGCTGCAATGACCATCGTGGGCCGGTGAGGTGGGGTTGCCTGGGGGCACGGGCTGGTGAGGTGTCTTCGGCCACGCACGAGGTAGCATCGGGCACGCGCAGCGGTGGCTCACTTGTGCAATCTCACAGCGAGTTGAAAACCATCTCTGAGCGAGCAAGCCACCGCCTCCTTGCCCGCGCTGCGAGGCAGCAAGGGCACGCGTACAGGAGGCAGGTGGCGGCTTGCTGGCGCGCTCGGAGACCATCTCTGAGCGAGCAAGCCACCGCCTCCCCGCCCGCACAGCAAGCTGTTTTTGCTCTTTGGAGCCCTTCATGATTTTGGACTTCAGTATCTGAAGTGTTTGCCTCTTCCTTACACTCTCCCTGTATCTTATCACTGGAGGCCCTTCCTCAAATATCCTCCTCAAGTAAGGTACTGGGGGCTGCCCTGAAAGGTCATCTTCAGTAGGCCTGCCTGGTATCAACTTAATGTATTATGTGGGTACCAGGCAAGGACCTTTTTATTTCCCTAGGCCTTTAAACTATGTGTGGTTCTTAATATCATGATAGCTGTGTGCTTTTTATTTGTTTGTTCTCTGCTTTTAATTTATTTGCTTTTATCTTAATTGATGTATTTATTTGCTTCATTTACTCTGTAAAGAGAGTAACAGAAAGAGAGCTATATGTTCTGGGATGTCATAAATTGATATTTAAGATAAATATATGGGTGCTTTCCTGTGCACGTACCTTGACCTGTAATTTGGATTTTTTTTTCTAGCCCCCACGGGCTATAGTATCTTCTGAACATAGGACAACATATTTCCTTCATTGCTATGCATTCAGAGAAAGACAGTACAATTTTCCAAAAGCATTGCGTAAACCACCCCAATCTCAGAAGCTGTCCCAACGTCTGAGATTAACTGAGTCTGTTCCCTCTTTTTACATGTGCTTGACTCCATTTATTGTTATTGTTCAAAAGAATCACTAGCTTTATTATTGTACTGGCTTGGAAACTACCTCCCCTTTTGGATAGACTTTTGGTAAAGTGGCTTTATTAACTTGTTTGGATTCTTGCCATATTGAAAGTTTAAAAACTGACTTCAAATTTCTAATTACCCTTTGGAGTTAGCAAGCGTAAGGCTGTTCCTGTGCAATCCAGCACTTAAGGCACTGCTCACAGACTGGGTTTTTTGTTTTTATTGGATGAACTCAAATGCCTTAGAAATCGGTTATCTAAATCAGTGGTTTTCAACCTTTCCAGAGCTGGGGACTGGTGAAAACAGGAAAGCAACCTCGGGGACTGCTGAGGCAGAAACAAAAAGCACCATACACATAATACAGTATTCCGGGTATTAGTTTCCAAGGCAATACCAAAAAATGAAAATTCTCCAAAACAACCAGAAACGAAGCAACAAAATATGCCAACAAAAGAACAAAATACCAAAATTCCCCACCGAGTTGTCTCTCCCTTCTCTGGCCCCCCAGCAGCACCGGTGCACCCCCGTGTAAATGCGATGCCAACTGAGGGAATGGTGGTAGAATACAGCTACCATGCTGATCAGGATGTGGCCCCCTCACAGACCAGCAGGAAATTTCCCACGGACCGATGCCGGTCCGCAGACAGGCAGTTGAAAACCACTGGTCTAAATCATTACAAATTGTCCTCTGATTGCACAAGTCACAGCAGCCTTGATTTCTTAAGAAAAGATTTGTTAGATCAGATGGAGCCCAATCAAGTCCAACATCCTGGCTGAATGCAGCAGCACCCTCCCATTCTTTTTCCTCACCTTCTGGCATGCTGCCTCTAACCTTAGAAGATTCACCTCCACCATCCAAGCCAGTGGCCATCGCTACATCCTCATTCACTGCATCCCATGCTGTTTCTGAGGGCCTATCAACTATCAAGAATGGCTGTTTGGAAGATACGGGAGACAAACGTGGGAAGGAGAGGGTTGGCTGTGTCCACTGAGCAAGTGATGTTTCTGCTCCTCTGGATCTAGGCCATATATTATTAGCATTGATAAATTTTCATAGTGAGCCAGTATGGTGCAGTGATTAAGAGTGCTGGACTGGGACTCGAGGTCTGGGTTCTTGTCCCCACTCAGCCATGAACTAACTTTGGACCAGTCACTCAGCCTAACCTACCTCACATTATTGTTGTTGTGAGGATAAAATTGAGAGGACGATGATGTAAGTCACCTTGGCTTCCTTGCAAGAGTAACAGCAACAGTTTGCTTCAAATTCTACTTTACCTCTAAGATAATCTCTGCATCTCTCTTACTTCCAAATGGGAGATGTTGGGGGTCCCACTGTTCCCTCAGACTCATGGTAATTGCTGGATAGGTGCCTGATTGCTCTTGATACTCTTAGCTATTTCCTTATTGTTGTCTGCTACCTGACTGTCTCTGTTTTCTATGGATAAACAGACATGTTCCTTGCTTATCTCTGCTGGCTGCTACTGACCAGGTCATTTTCAGGCATCTGGTGTTTCCTTCCCTCACCTCATGGCAACTTGTTGTGCTCATTCAGGTTAATGGTAGTCATCCTTGCAGGATTGGTTTGCCTAATCTCTTCAAGGGACATCGCAGGTTATGCATAGGCTTTACTCTGCAAGAATTCCATTCATTGCTCATCATGCATTCTTTATCTTCTCCACGCTGGCTAGCCCAGGTCATTAGGTCACTCACCTTGAATGCAAGCGTACCGAACAGGCCCCATGTCCTTTCTTTTGATGCTTGGCATACAACCAGTATTGATAATAATTATATACATGTGCTACAGGAAACAGGTGAATGGAAAATGGCAGGATTGTGCCAATATGTGGGGGGAGGAGCTATTCTTTCCTGCCTCAGAAGCTGTTCCTGCACAACTCTGAAAGTGTTTAAACTCCCCAAATTTTTAAAAATACCAGAGCAATTTAAAAGAGAATGTTTGGGATGGGGATAACACATCCACTCTTAGATGTTCTTTTTAGACTGCTGTTGAGGCAAATCCACAGGATTGCTGCCTCAGTGCTCATTAATTTCCAAAATCACAAGCTTATGAGCAAGGTGGATTTGATTTAAATCAGATAGCTAGATATATAGATAGATCAGATAGATTTAAATCATTATTTAAATCAGTAGTCAGTAAGACTAGATTTAAATCATGGTTTTTTACATAATTTGCATGTATGCCTACCATACCCATAAGTTGAGAAACTTCATTAAAATATCCCCAAATTGAGTCTCTTTTACCGTCTACTGCCATTATAGGTTTTCTGCACCAGGGAAAGCAGAATATGGTTAACCTCAGGCTATGCACAAAAAAATCCAACGACTTCTGGAGTATTCTGCTAAAAAGTTTTCACTTTTATTTTTACTGCTTGCCCCTCCCTCCTCATACTTAGCTTCTTGTGCAGATCTATTCCACTCCCAACAATCTTCTATTCATTGAGGTTTTTTTAAACTTAGCACTTAGAAGGTAGGGGGTTGATTCTGTGTACATAGATTTGCAAAAGAACAATGGGATTAAGGTCTTTTCCTCAGCTCTGTATGTTAAATAACATTTTGGGGGGTGAAGAAGAGGCATGTGATCTCTGAATACACCAATTCACAGTTTTGAGAACTGTAAACCAAAGATCTGTGATAATATCTTCTAAATAGAAAATTACCCAATAATCTTACAGAAATATCTGGAAGAAAGAGCATGATATTATGAATGGATTAATGGAATTTGTTTACCAAAAATGTAAATATTACATGAATATACAGCTTCATGCTACATAATTAAAAACTTATCCTTATTTCATGATGAATAACCTTTGGACTATACTGTATCTTAAATAGGAAACTCTCCTTAGATTTTTCCTCAAAAAGCATTTTAAAAAAAAATCCAATTTAAATCAAAATAATTCATTTTTTTAATCATTGATTTTTTTGATCCACCCTGCTTTTGAGTGCAGAGCAGGAGGATTGTTCGTAGCAATCTTGGTCTCCCTGCACCTTCCACTCTGCAGCTTAGTTACCAAAAGCACTTCAAATGGGAGGGAAGAAGGCTGTTGTGCTATCAGGATGCCTCCAGTTTCCTTCCTGTCATTTTTACCTCTCTCCAAGTTTGATTTCCTAACTTTGGAGCAGCAAACTGGCCTGGTTCTTTCTGGCTTCAGTCTCAGATCTAGTAATCTGAAGTATTGCTCTCTAAATTGCTTTTGTCTGTGAGTTCAGCTTGGAAGAAGAACAGTTAAGAGAAAATTCAAGAGTGTCTCTGGGATGTTGGGCTATAAGTGACAATTGCCTTATTAGATATGTAGGAGAAATACCAATGCCAAGTATAAAATTCAGGATCTGAGCATTTTTATATATTAATAAATATGTTTTTAAAAACTTGCCAAAAATCTGTCATTCCAGGAGGAGGTTTTTCCTTTTCCTGAAATTAGCAACGAAGAATTGGAAGAAATTAACCAGTATGTTGGACCAGTAGAAAAATTCTTCAGTGAAGAAGGTATATTCCTCCCCTCACCACTTTTTCATAAAATAATTTTCTATAGGATGAAAAAAGAAAAGTTTGTAGCTTGCCTCAGTATTCTTTTAATGTATGATTTTAGTTAGCAAGAAGAAGCAAGCAGCATGAATCCTAAGAAATTTTATGGCAGTGTTTCAACAACCACTGTGCATCTTATTTTTAAATATTTTTTTGTCCATGTTATGCTCATTATTTCATGTTTGCCCAAGATTCAAGTGAAATTTCCAAATTAGAATTTTACTTGATGCAATTGGTGAATGAAATAATTTAAAGCTCCTTCCTCAGATTGTCGTGTCTGGCAGATGCATGTCAAATATTTCAAATGTGCTGTTGGAATACGTGGCGTGCACTTACATAACATTGGAGACCAAAACATCTGGTAACCTATGGGAAGGCAAGTGCTATTATGAAAAAAAATGTTAGGCTTGGTGGCTTGAATCCCCACTTTGTTTGTTGGCTTCTTTCCTTGCACAGTGTTGACCTGATTACTATAGATCTAACCCTTTAAATACATTGATGATAATTAAACCATCAGAACCGTGCTGGGATTTGTTTTATTACCTTTCAGTGGATTCTAGGAAAATTGACCAAGATGCTAAAATTCCCCAAGAGACTCTTAATGGATTGAAGAAGCTAGGGCTCTTTGGCATGCAGATTCCAGAGGAGTATGGTGAGTGAAGCTGTATGGAAAATAGAGCCTGATTCTTCACGCTTCTGATATGAGTGGTGTCTTGAATTGTATCACTTGTCTTTCCCATGTGCCTGCCCACTTTAAGGTTAAGTTCTTCCAAAAAAATCTCTTGCTGAAATCTAGGTGAATAACTTGTTACTCTGTGTTCTTTTAGTGACCCCTGGCCTCAAGTAATTCTCCCTGCTTTTGTAATACCTGAAACCAATAGAATCTCATAATTTCAGAGAATTATGAAAACTGTTTGGGTTCATAAGGTGTTCTTGTATGTTTTTATAGGAAAAATGTTCAGACAACAAAATATTATTTGATAAATTTAAGCAGATTTTTGCAGGTGGTCTTGGTCTTTCAAATACAATGTATGCACGCTTGGGAGAAATCATTTCTCAGGATGGAGCTATTGCAGTAACTTTGGCCGCTCACCAAGCTATAGGGCTAAAGGTAATTTTCTCATTTCTCTACCTGTTGTTCATGCTAATGCTGTGCAGCTTTAATATTTCAAAGTAAGGCATGCATTTTCCCAGGCACTTACAAGTGTGATTTCCTGCTGTGATAAGAGAAAACTATGAAGAATTGATGAATAAGGTACCTTAACATTTTAGTGAAAATTAAATGATAAAGAACAAGAACCACGTAGAATACTGGAGCTGGAAATCACTGGCATTAGATTGCAAGCAGTGTAAACTTAATTCAGTTCAACTTAAGAAACTGTTGAAAGATTCATGTTAAGGCTTTATTGAAATAATTTGATTGCCTTTAGTAAGCCTGATTACATGGTGATAAAAAAGAAATGTGTGCCAGTCACATTGTATATCTTTGCGAAACAACTTGAGGTATACAGTTATGTGCTAGGTGAAGAAGCTGTGGAATGTTCTTGGGACACCAGGAATACTACTTTGAGGTACAAAAAGGCTGAAGGATTACCTAACCTCATGTGTCCCTGAATGCTTGGGTATTGTAGCTTATAGTGATACGTGTTAGTTCTAAAATGTTTGTGTCTGTGTTCTGATTAGAAATCTGAATAGTAACTCTTGAGAAAGAGCTTTGATTCACTATATCAAGTCAAAGTGATGACTTTGTGCTTCTTTTTTGGCAGGGTATCCTTATAGCAGGCAATGAGGAACAAAAGAAAAAGTATTTACCTAAACTGGCTTCTGGGGAGCACATTGCAGCATTTTGCCTCACTGAAGCAGGAAGGTAGAGTTTGTCATTTAAAGCCGAGAATAAGTTTAAGAACTGGTGTGATGAAGTGCTGTCAGAGACTGACTTAAGAAAACACACATGCTCCAGTTAGAATCTTCTCCTTTCGTGAACTCATTAAGTGACATGACGCAACCCACTGTGGGTTTTGACTTGTCTTCGGCAGTAGGCTCACCGTGATGAAGGTGGTCCTGACCTGTGACAAATGTGGCCTCCCTCCATTAATTAGTGAGGGGCAGTGTTAGATGCTGCTTTCTGAAAGTACCCAGCACACATTCAGGCAGTGACACCCACCAACATATGCTTCTGTCTTACCTTCAGGAAAAACCAGGTGGGTTGGAGCATTGGACACCTTTACACAAAAATGGTCCATGCACATTTAGGCCTCAGTGCCTGACTCTGCACACTTGTCCCTTAGGAAAGACTGAGTGTCGTGTGCTGCTGCCTAAAGGCATGTGGAGGAAAGTGTTCAACAATGCACATTCTCCCTCGCCGCTGCTTGCCGACATGCCCAGCCTTTTTCACCTAAGCAGGGCTTTACAGGTGAGGAGACTGGCAATACATCTTTCTGCTTAGCCAGCAAGGCCAGGCAAAACTTGTGCACCTGCCTACCTTGAAAGAGTGTTGTAAGAAAATAGGTATAGAGTTGTGAATTCTCTAAAGAGATCTATAAAAGCAAAGTATTACTTTGAGCAAGTTATTTTCACTGCTGTTATTCACATAGGCTACTAAGGAGAACATGTTTAGCTGGTTGTTTTGGAATTTTCAGAATTACAGGAGTATTTCATTCCTTGAGATTCAGATCTTCCAGGTGCATGGAGCTAGTGGGTATTCCCATTTCCTTAGTTTTGTTTATGTTTCAGTGGAAGTGATGCAGCATCCATCCAGACAAGAGCCACTTTGACTGAGGATGGGAAAAGTTTCCTATTGAATGGTTCAAAGGTATTTATCCACTAATAATTTCCCCCCTGCATATCAGTTTGGCAAAGTACCTTCATTGCCTTTTTGCCTTGTGCTTTTAAAGGCCCAGTTAACAGAATAGGATCCATAATCAATGAAAGGGATCTCAGTTTCAAAAAAATGGATTGAGTCATATCATGTTTGTATTGTCTTATGTTGTTGTATTTTAACGTGTTGTAACCTGCCCAGAGATCCTGTGGCTAGTGGGACACATATACATTGAATAAACAACAAATACATGTTGAACCCTGAGCTTACTTTATAAAGAAGACAGTATTTCTGAAGGTGCTTTTTTCCTTTACTGGAATTTCCAGTACTTTTAAGAGTTTGGAAATGATCAGCTCTGCCTGGGTTGTTGTTAGTCGCAAAGTCGTGTCCGACCCATCGTGACCCCATGGACAACATTTCTCCAGGCCTTCCTGTCCTCCACCATCCCCCAGAGTCCACTTAAGCTCACACTGACTGCTTCAGTGACTCCATCTAGCCACCCCATTCTCTGCCGTCCCCTCCTTCTTTTGCCTTCTATTGTTCCCAGCATTAGGCTCTTCTCCAGAGAGTCCTTCCTTCTCATTAGGTGGCCAAAGAATTTGAGTTTCATCTTCAGTATCTGCCCTTCTAAAGAGCAGTCCAGGTTGATCTCCTCTAGGACTAACCAATTTGATCGCCTTGCAGTCCAAAGGACTCACAGGAGTCTCCTCCAGCACCACAATTCAAAGGCCTCAATTCTTCGGTGTTCAGCCTTCCTTATGGTCCAACTTTCACAGCCATACATTGCAACTGGGAAAACCACTGCCTGGGTAGAAACCCTTTTTTTCAGCTATGCCTTGAATCTTGACTGAAAACAGGTCCATAGAGAAAGCAGAGAGTAATATTTGGCAGAAAAAAGTAGCAAGGAAAGGGATCCTTCAGCGTTTATATATTTTATGAAGTATCTTTTCCTTCCAAGTAGAACAAAAAGTACTTCTTCCTTTTTCAATTTCAGATATGGATATCAAACGGTGGTATTGCAGATATCTTTACCGTGTTTGCTAGAACAAATATTGTGGACAAGGATGGTGCAGTAAAAGACAAAATTACTGCATTCATTGTAGAAAAAACTTTTGGTGGAATCACTCATGGAAAACCAGAAGATAAACTGGGAATTCGAGGATCTAATAGTAAGAATTACATAAGTATGTCATTAGGAAGATTTAGAATTAATGTTTTCCTGGATTGAAGAGAAAGTCCAGATTCTTTGACCTGCTGAATTTTCTAAAATGCCTGGAATAATTGAAAACATTATCTGACCAGCATTAATAATTCTTTAATCTCATTAATAATTCATAAATCTCACTCCCCAATGAATATATATTTGCAGCCCACCTGTCATGAGCTCAGTCTTATATTTTGTTTGGATACGTGTGTCTTTATCTTTCTTTGCTATTTCCCTCTCTTTCTCTGGGATAACACCGCCAGCAGAAATTTAATTCCAGTCTTATCAATTATTCTCTCCCACTGTATTGTGTCCAAGACTTATGTGGTCCTGAGGATGAGACTCTGGTATTCAAACAGCCTGTGGCTCTGAGTTAACAACAAACAAAACAAAACTTTATTTGTTCAAGAGGTATATTGATTTCAAGATGTTCAGCAACTTATTTTCTTAATAGATAACATAATGTATAGTAACTTCTGATTGCGGTATCTCACACTTTCCCTGCACAAACACTCCTCATGTGTAGATCCCCTTTTCTCTCCTGAATGAATTTTAACCAGTCCCGATTTTTTAATCTCAATTTAATGTTTCCCTTCTGCATTCAGGTTTCTGTCAACTTCTGTCCCTCACACTGTTATAATACTTTTCCAGTATTAGGTTTTGATTCTCTGCGGTTGCTGATATGTCCTCTAAATACTTTGCTTCCTTCCCTTTCCTTATGAAACCCGAATGCCTTCACAGCACTGTTGAGGATCCTAAAGTGAAGGCTGCCTCTTCAGGTTCTGCAGATTTGCTGACTAATGCTTCTGACAGACCAGGACTGACTGACAGCCTTCTGTCTTCTGACACACTTCCAAGCTCTGCCCATCCACTCACCATCACTAAGCAATCACCTCACTCACTCACTCACCCACCCCCCTCCTTTATTCCACTTGCCCTTCCAAAACTTACCAACATTTAAAGGAACACACTCAAGAACACTTTAAATCATTACACCACCTAAGAAGTCCAGTTGAAAATTTGTCCAATTGCAAAATTATTGTGAAAATTTTGCTGTCACCTTAGCACTCTTCCTGATTAGTTAACCTCACCGTTAGAAGTTAGAGGTAACCAGTGGTCCTTCCTGTGCTCAATTTAACTTACTCTCCTTCCATGCATTTTGACATGCTTGAAAGTGCTGTTCATCAAAATTCCAGTTTATTGGCATACTTATTAAGGCTGAACGGGGATGCAGGCAGGGAAACTTGCTTTAACAACCCATTCTGTGACAATGATACCCAGGGACTTAGGTTTCATGCCGTTGCTCAGCTTGATCACACTAAATTAATGAAATCTTACATGAAAACCTAAAGAAGGGGGTTATCTGCACACCTTTGCATGCAACACCATGTATATTAATGTTGATTCCCCAGACAGAAGAAAATTTTTCTTTTCAGATATAAAAAGATAGGCAAAGTAGAGGTTTGATCAGGAGACTCAGAAGGAATTGTAGATGTATCCCTTTTCTTCTTGGCCTCGCTCTGCTTTCTTTTCTGTTACTTCAGTCCTTAGAACCTAATGTGTGCTCCATGAGTGACTCCTAAAAGACTGCAAAATTAGAGTAAGGCTCTCTATTTTACAGCTTCTGAAGTGCATTTTGAAAATACGAAAGTTCCTGTAGAGAATGTTATTGGCGAAGTTGGAGGTGGTTTTAAGGTAAGATGTAGACATGTAACGCCTCAAAGCTTGCACTTCAGCTGAGAGATACAGAAGATGATTGTCATTGTGAGGGAAGAGGAAAAATGGGACTAGCTGGAATAATGAAGGTTGAGCAATAATCTGAAAAAGCAAGCAAATCTGATTGGAAAGTGGCATGTTTGCCAATCATCAATTTGTGCTGATTAAAACCCCCCAATTAACTAACAACATTCAAAGAATGAATAAGGGTACAATCCTGTGCATGTTTAGACAGAAAAAAAATTCCGTAACTCAGTATTTTCCATCTGGTCATACGGCAGTTAGATAGGAAAGTATCAATGTGTTTTTGGTTCTGCCTTCAGTGGCTTAACCTGTTTTTATCACTCAGCATATGTAACCTGATACGTCTTTTCTTGTGATCATCACTTCTCCAGTTCTAACAGTTTCAGCCAACCAAAACTAATTTTTAAATCAATTCCACCCATTTTCCTTGCTGTCCTTTACATTTAGCGTCTGTTTCAGTATGTTTTTGTGTGACCGTATTACTTATTTAAGTGTCTCCCTAAAACTTACCTGTCCAGGGGGTTTAAAGCAACAGGTACAGAAATGGTATTGTATAAATAAC